TGGGGTCTCAGGCAGCTCTTCCTCAGGGAGAGGGTGCTCAGGCACTGGGATGCTCTGCCCAGGGCAGGGGGGAGTCACCGTCCCTGGGGGGGTTTAAGGAGAGGCTGGATGTGGCACTTAGTGCCCTGGTCTGGCCCATGTCGGGTGTTGGGACACAGGCTGGACTTGATGATCTCAGAGGGCTTGTCCAGCCTCAATAATTCTGTGATTCTCTCCCTCTTTCTTCTCACGGCAAAGTTCCTTTGTTCTCCTCTCACCTCCGCCTCCTCCAAGAGAAAAACTCCCCAACGCTAAGGACAGGGCAGCTCAACACAAAACCAAAAGCAAAAAAGACCAACAGAGTCGCCTCTTAAATACCTTGATGGCAGAGGCGCTGCTTGGCCTGGCCCTGGCCACAGGCAGCTCCGACTCCTGCCTGGAGAGTTTTGCACAAGTCTGCCCTTGATTTTTTTTACAAAGAAACCTCATCAGACTCCAACCCATGACAGACCTAAACGCTTTGTGCCACGTTGCAAAACCTCCCTTTTAAATGGGCCTGAAAAATGAAGCGTGGAGGAGCAAGCAAATCCCAGTTTGAGTTTGAGACGTAAAATCCGTTAAATTGGTTCATCCAGGTGCGCAGCGCTGAGCGATCCCCGTGAATTTTGCCGGCGTTTAACCTGTGGGTGTAGCCGGGCTGTTAATTAACCTCACAGATCCTGTGAGGATCTCGTTAGCAACTTGCTGACATCCCGGAGGTGGGACGATTCCCAGGTATCGGCGCTGCAGCTCCTCGGGCGACTCTGCTGCCCGTGTTATTGCACGTGGACGGGGCAGGCGCGTACTCGGACGCCGCACCGGGAACGCGTCGTAGTATTTGGCGCTACTCGGAAAGGTTTGCTCATCTAACCCAAGTGTCGTTTTTCCGGGCTTTTGTAGAATCGTAGAGCTGTTTGGGTTGGAAAAGATGGGATTTAAGATTGGATTTAAAGATTGAGTCCAACTATTAACCCAGCAAAGCCAAGTCCACCACTGCACCGTGTCCCTGAGCACCACAGCTTTGAAATCCCTCCAGGGATGGCGACTCCACCCCTGCCCTGGGCAGCCTGTGCCAGTGCCTGACAACCCTTTCGGTGAAGAAATTTCTCCTAAGATCCAACCCAAACCTCCCCTGGTGCAACTGGAGGTCATTTCCTCTAGTCCTATCACTTGTTCCTTGGGAGAAGAGACCGACCCCAGCTGTCAGGGAGTTGTAGGGAGTGAAAAAGTCTCCTCTCAGCCTCCTCTGCTCCAGCTGAGCAGCCCCAGCTCCCTCAGCTGCTCCTCACACTTGTTCTCCAGCCCCTTCCCCAGCTCTGTTGCGCTCCAGCCCCTCCGTGTCCTTCTTGTCATGAGGGGCCCAAACCTGAGCCCAGGATTCAACGTGCGACCTCCCCAGTGCTGAGCACAGGGGGACAATCCCTTCCTGGTCCTGCTGCCTCCATCCAGGCCAGGATGCTCTTGGCCTTTTTGGCCACCCGGCTCATCTTCACTGGCCACCAGCACTCCCAGATCCTTTTCCACTGAGGCTCTTTCCAGCGACTCTTCCCCAAGCCTGTAGCTGCCAGGAGCAGCTTCGTGCAGGGCAGAGTTTTTCCATATCCTCTCCCCTTGCTCTCACGAGCTACAGCCTTTTCTGGGGGGAAATGGCCGTGATTTTCTTGCCTCGGCGTAGATTTCTCACCTCTGAGGGGTTATTACTCACAGGGCAGAGAATTGTTGGAGGCCTGGCTGGGTTTTGTGGCAAATGCTTCTGCCAAAGCTGAGAGCGAAGGTTTGGAAGCTGAGTTAACATCAACCTCGGCCCCGACGGCGTAACTAGAACGGGAAGGGGTCAGGCAAGCGGCTTCATCCGAGCTTGAATTTTTATCCTTGGTGCGTTGAGCAGCTTCTCAGCGCCTTTACTCCTCTTTGAGAGATTCGTTTGTGTTAATTGGGCTTATTAAGAGTCTCGGTCACTTTTCCCGTGTTTCTGCGTCCGTCAGGTCTTAGATTTTATTAATTTCTTTAACGACAGGAAAGGCAGCGGCGCGCACCTCTGAGACATCTCGCTCTAGTTCTGCCACCCGGCTGCACGACTGTCCCGCAGCCGCTGGGACGTTTGCTGACAAGTCGGCAGAAATTTTGTGGCCCAAATAAAACATCTTTTGCACGGGCTTCGCTGGCGTGAGGCTGCGTCTCGTTGCTTGACGATTCGCCCTGCATGCTTCGCCTCTTCCCAGCATGAGCGAAACCTTTTTTAGTCCCTTCTGCCTTGAACCAAACGTCCTCCAAACCTTTCGCCCTTTGCAGCAGAAGACAGATCCTCGTAGTAAAGAAGCTCCTTGCGCCCGTCCCAAGAGGCAGTCGGGCCGCTCAACTGTAAGTCCCCGCTGCATGGATTGGAGCTGCTTTGTGTGATTTTCGAAGACGTCGGGAGGGCGAGGCCCTTCCCAATTCTCCCTCCCTGCGACGGGAAGCGTTTGTCCCTCGGCATGGAGCTCACTTGAGATAATTTAGGTCTCCCGGCTCGGTGGCCACGGGTTGCGGATCTGCGTTTGCGTTCCTGAGCCCGTACCTACAGCAGAGGCAGCGTCGGAGATGAATTTCGTGGCGCTTTTTGACCTCGGGGCCCCTTTTTGGGTGGATGGAGAAGGGTCTCTTTGATTTTGACCTTGCTGCTCCCAGGGCCGGGCAGCTCGAGTCCTGCTTTCTGTGTGCCACATGTTCTTCATCTTAACCCCCGTGTTTCGCTCACTCTGTGTCGTGAGGGGCTGCTGAGATCTCCGAAGCTTGGCAGCTGCAACCGAGGACCACGTTATAATTAAATATTCCTGAAAGAGCATTAATTATTTCCCCTATTGTATTCTGTTAGAAATGACACTTAAAGCATGAAGACCTGTTATTTTCTTGCCCTTGATTTGAATTTATAGGTAAAGGCCTCCTTGGGGGGAAAAAAACCAAAGGATGAAAGCTCTTTTTTGCTGTTAAATACTTTTGAAGCGGGGTTGGTATAATTGCTCCCTCAGGATGTGTTAAAGTAGGTTTAAGTCGTTTGGGAGAGAATGAAAAGGCTGGACCGGGGAAGGTGGGAGTATAGAAACGCCGAGATCTCTCTGCAACTTCCCCAGGGACTCGCCGAGTGACGTTAGGCAGGTCACTTCTGTGCTCTGTGCCTCAGTTTCCCCGTAAGAGGAGACGAGATGCCCCGTTTCAGAAGTTTGGCGCGAAACTTTCTGGAAAAAAAACCCAAAATCGTGCGTGTTCGGTGGCCGCGCGAGATCTGAGACCGCAAAGAGCGACTTTATCCTCCGCTCTCGTCGGCGCCAGCTGAATTTTCTCGAGATACATTCCACGCCTCATTCTGTCGAGCCGGTATATTCTTTTCATAAAACCTCTAGAGGAAATAGTCTTTGTTCTTAGATTAGCTCTCCCAATGTTCTTCTTCCCCTAAAGGCATGACTCTGCTTTGCTTCACTGAGCCGCTGAGCTTGGCCTTAGGTGAACAGCTCGGTTTCAGCTCCGTTCTCCTTGTTGCAGAGCGCGAGCGCGACCTCCTCTGGGCCTCCCGGCGACCAAAACGACCTCCTGTCGCGCATTTCTCACCTGGAGGTAGAAAATCAGAACCTTCGCAGCGGTAAGTCCTGACGTGAGAACTAAAACTGGGTGATGGGGTCCTGCTCCTGCGGGGTGTTATCCCTTCCCTGGTTTTTGTTGTCAGGTGAGCGCCTGGTCCATACGAGCTTTGGGGGGGTCTCGCCTCTGAGTGGGGCAATTTTAAAAACGCCTCTTGGAGCAGAAACAAATCTGCCCCGATTTCAGAGCCTACAGGATAATGTTCTTTCCTCCCTCGCCCGCTTCTTCCCGCAGTTGTTGCCGACCTTCAGTTGGCCATCTTCAAGTTGGAAAGCCGCCTGAACGCTCTGGAAAAGTCATCTACCTCCCACCAACCCTCGGCGGTTCCTCCCACCCAGGTGAGCCACGGCCGGAGCGCTGTTCCCCGAATCCCGGATCGTTCCCAAGGTCCGCCCCAAGACAGACAGATGCTCGTAGCTGAGTTTGGTGCAGGATTTCCCACAGTTTTGGCAGCTGCCTCGTCATCTTTGCCCAGAATTACGTGTAGAGAGGAGCATTTTGCTCTTAAGACCGGCGAAGAAGCTACGTCGGAGATTTCAGCTAGAGAGGGCTGGTGGAAATTCTGAGTTAATATACGTTGGGTTGGCATTTCACTCCTGGCACCCTGAATTTCTTAGCACACACGCCGCGTCATGGCAATAGAGAAGAACTGGGGATGCTTTTTCAACAAATGTCCTGTGTAAAAACGCGTTTAATTTCAGAGGAAGCTCAACAGGAGCTGAACAAATCACGTGGTGGGGGGGTCACATTCACCGTCTTGAGCAGCTTTTGTTCCTGAGCTTCTCTGATTCAGCCTCAGGTTCATCCTCTCCTCGTTTGTTTTTTTTTCCTTAACGCAAACCTGACGGCGTGGGGTGAAGAAAGTTGAACCGTTCAGTGTTCCCTCCAAGAAAGTGGAGCTCCCGTCCGCTTCGCCGGCAAAGAAAGCCGAGCCAGCTGCCGCAGAGGAAGACGACGATGATGACATCGACCTTTTTGGTAGCGACGACGAAGAGGAGGACCAAGAGGCTGCCAAAGTCCGGGAGGAAAGACTCCGTCAGTACGCAGAGAAGAAGGCCAAGAAACCGGGACTTATTGCCAAGTCTTCCATCCTTCTGGATGTGAAACCCGTGAGTAACTGGAGTGGGGGAGCTGCAGCGTGGGGAGGGCACCAGATCATCTCGTTTGCGCGTCGGAGTTCACAGAATCATGAGTTGCCCTTGGTAAAAAAGTCACTTGAAAGCGGGCGCTCCCACGCGGGAGGATTCCCTCGCGTCTGCGGTGCCCGTAGGTAGAACCGAAACGGCGTCGGCTCATTCTGGCGAAAATAGTAACCGGGCAAGGGCAGCTGAAACGGACTGAGGAGGAGTAATGTTGAATTTTCAGTCACTTGATATATCTTGGGGCTAATCAGAGAATCGCTTGGGTTGGGAAAGACCTTTTTAAGATCGAGTCCAACCGTTAACCCAGCGATGCCAGGTCTACCTCATCTCCTACCTAAACCTCCACGACGCAACTTGAGGCCGTTGGAGATCTCTAGGAAAACGCTAAAGTTCCTGCTTCACTTTTTTTTTGTTTGTTTTTTGCAGTGGGACGATGAGACCGACATGGCCAAGATGGAAGAGTGCGTCCGCTCCGTCCGCATGGATGGGTTGGTGTGGGGAGCCTCCAAACTGGTCCCAGTGGGTTACGGTATTAAAAAGCTCCAAATCCAGTGCGTCGTGGAGGATGACAAAGTCGGGACGGACATCCTGGAGGAGGAGATCACCAAGTTCGAGGACTACGTAAGTCTTGGCCGACCCGCCGGGGTGATTTTTTAACTTAAACTTCACATGCAGATCTTTGGCAAATTTGGATTTTTAAAAGAAAACCGCATAGAAGCGATGGTGGCCGCCTGCTGAGACACTTGTGTGTATAAATAGATTTTTTTAAGGCTCCCAGTCTGGGAGAGCAGCTGGTTTCTATCCATCTCCTCCTGTTCTTTTGCTAATATTTGAAGTAAATCAGGAATTTTAATATTAATGTTGCAAGAAGCTCCGAATAGGATGTTTTTTTGTGGGCTGGCCTGTCTAAAGACTCGTGCAGTAACTAGCACGGTGCTGTCATGACTGATATTTTAAAGAATATTAAATATTGGTCCTTAAAGATCCTCTTACAGCAGCTGAGAAGCTGATTAAAGACACGTTTGAGCACCGCTCGTGCCAGCTGTGAAGAAAATTCCCTGATGTGAGTTTTAAATGCTTGAGAGAACACTTTGGTGACCTCGTGCTGCTGCTTCTGTTCTCTTTCAGGTGCAAAGTGTGGACATTGCTGCTTTCAACAAGATCTAGAAACGAAACTGTAAACCCCCTCTGAAAGAGTAACTAATAAAGGTCAGGATTGGGAGTGCAGATTTGGATGATGGGTTGTTTTTTTCTCTCTGCCGAGCAGAACTTCTCCTGAGTGATTTGTTGTGAGACTTCGGGCTATTTCCCTTCGTAAAAGGAAAAACCTTGAGCCCGGGGTGAGATTTTTGGGTTGGGATGAAGGTCTGTAGCACAGTAGCCTGTGCTAAGGCTGTTTGCACTCACCTTGCCCAAGGTAGAGATGCCAGTCTGTCTCTGCAAAAAAAAAACCAAAAAACCCCAGGAAACACCCAGGAATTGCTGGTTTGGGGCTGGAATTTCTGGTTTTTTCCCTCTTGCTGCTCTCGATACTCTGCACAGGTCACTTGAGCTGCTCGTTTTGGAGCACAGCCTTTGGAGAGGGGCAGGCGGCGCTTTGAACCGTGGGCACACACGCTCTGTCGTGGCGCCAGAGTCCAAGGTCCGGGCTTAAAAAAACCGTGCGGTGCCAACGCTGAGCAAATAGCAAAGGTCCCTGCGGGTTGTGCCGGCCGAAGTCGCAGCGCGCCCCAGCCTGTCACATGCCCTCTGCACCCTCTCCTCCTGTGACCTGAGGTCCTGGTGTCCTCCTGTGCCGTGTGTCCCTTAAGCCAGCAGAGTCCCACGGGTCCGGTGTCCCATCTCCCTGGGATTGCTGGTGCCCCGTGTCCCATCCTAGAATGTGAAGGTTGGAAAAGGCCTCTAAGATCACCAAATCCAAACCGTCAACCCAA